CTTGTCTTTTGCCCCTTTTTGGCCCCTAATTCCTAAAATTTGGAGGCAATTACCCCCAAAATCAATCCCAGCATTCCCTTTGTGATATGGAACATTGTGGTACAATGTCAGAGAGATCCATACACTTACACACAAGTTATTGTCATGAATAAAATGCTCCGCTGGTATGCAGCTTGATACGACCGCAGAGGTCTTACCCTGAACAGTTGGGGAAAGTATGGACACAACATTCAAGCTTGATACAGCTCTGAATTTAGATTGTGATTAAATATTTGACACAGCATAGGTTTCTGACACAGAATGAATGTGGTCTAAGAAAATTTTTATTTTACCTATTCAAACCATATCATTATTATTTGCATTTATATATAAATCAGAAATAACCAATTTAAATTGGTCAGCATGTCATAAGGAACATTCATGCCATGTTTGGTTTCATTCCATTCAGTGGTTCTCTAAAAGAAGACATTTGTATGTATTTCCCATAGGGTCCTATGTTAAACTAAGTCCCCCGCTGGGGGCCATCTTGGATGATGGACCCACTGCAAAGTAACAACACTTGGTCAGCATCTCATAAGGAACATTCATGCCATGTTTGGTTCCATTCCATTTATTGGTTCTCTAAAATAAGACATTTTTATGTATTTCCCATAGGGTCCTATGTTAAACTAAGTCCCCCACTAGCGGCCATCTTGGATGATGGATCGGCGACAAAGTAACAACACTTGGTCAGCACCTCATAAGGAACATTCATGCCATGTTTGGTTCCATTCCATTCAGTGGTTTTCTAAAAGAAGACATTTGTATGTATTTCCCATAGGGTCCTATGTTAAACTAAGTCCCCCGCTGTCAGCCATCTCGGATGATGGACATACTTCAAAGTAACAACACTTGGTCAGCACCTCATAAGGAACATTAATGCCATGTTTGGTTTCATTCCATTCAGTGGTTCTCTAAAAGAAGACATTTGTATGTATTTCCAATAGGGTCCTATGTTAAACTAAGTCCCCCGCTGGCAGCCATCTTGGATGATGGATCGGCTACAAAGAAACAACACTTGGTCAACAACTCATAAGGAACATTCATGCAATTTGTGATATGGAACATTTTGGTACAATGTCAGAGAGATCCATACACTTACAAGTTATTGTCTGGAAACTAGAATAATGCTTGTCTTTTGCCCCTTTTTGGCCCCTAATTCCTAAAATTTGGAGGCAATTACCCCCAAAATCAATCCCAGCATTCCCTTTGTGATATGGAACATTGTGGTACAATGTCAGAGAGATCCATACACTTACACACAAGTTATTGTCATGAATAAAATGCTCCGCTGGGGCGCAGCTTGATACGACCGCAGAGGTCTTACCCTGAACAGTTGGGGAAAGTATGGACACAACATTCAAGCTTGATACAGCTCTGAATTTAGATTGTGATTAAATATTTGACACAGCATAGGTTTCTGACACAGAATGAATGTGGTCTAAGAAAATTTTTATTTTACCTATTCAAACCATATCATTATTATTTGCATTTATATATAAATCAGAAATAACCAATTTAAAATGGAAAATTTTAAAGAAAAAAAAGGAAAAAATGGAAAAAAAATCCCCCCCCCCATATTTTTGAACCCCCTTATGATTCATCACCCCAAAACTCAATAACAGCCTTCCCTTTGTGGTATGGTACCTTGCAGTACAATTTCAGAGAGATCCATACACTTGAACACAAGTTATTGTCTGAAAACTAGAAAAATGCTTATTTTTGGCCCCTTTTTCCTAAACGTTTTGGGCAATTACCCCCAAACTCAATTCCAGCTTTCTCTTTGTGATATGGAACCATGTAGTACAATTTCAGAAATATCCATAAACTTACAAACAAGTTATTGTCATGAAACTAGAAAAATGCTTGTTTTTTGCCCCTTTTTTGGCCCCTAATTCCCAAAATTTTGAGGCAATTACCCCCAAAATCAATCCCAGCATTCCCTTTGTGATATGGAACCTTGTGGTACAGTGTCAGAGAGATCCATACACTAACACACAAGTAATGTCTGGAAGTTACAAAAATGCTTATTTTTGGCCCCTTTTTGGCCCCTAATTCCTTAACTGTTGGTACCATAACCCCTAAAATCAATCCCAACCTTTCTTTTGTGGTATTGAACCTTATGGTAAAATTTCATAGAGACCCATTCACTTAAACTAAAGTTAGAGTGCGAAAACCAATAAATTTTAACAAAAAAAAAAGGAAAAAATGGAAAAAAAATCCCCCCCCCCAATTTTTTGAACCCCCTTATGATTCATCACCCCCAAACTCAATCCCAGCCTTCCCTTTGTGGTATGGTACCTTGCAGTACAATTTCAGAGAGATCCATACACTTGAACACAAGTTATTGTCTGGAAACTAGAAAAATGCTTATTTTTGGCCCCTTTTTGGACCCTAATTCCTCAACGTTTTGGGCAATTACCCCTAAACTCAATTCCAGCTTTCCCTTTGTGATATGGAACATTGTAGTACAATTTCATAAAGATTCATACACTTACACACAAGTTATTGTCATGAAACTAGAAAAATGCTTGTTTTTTGCCTTTTTTGGCCCCTAATTCCTAAAATTTTGAGGCAATTACCCCCAAACTGTAACACAGCTTTCCCTTCGTGATATGGAACCTTGTGGTACAATGTCAGAGAGATCCATACACTAACACACAAGTTATGTCTGGAAGTTACAAAAATGCTTATTTTTGGCCCCTTTTTCCTTAACTGTTGGTACCATAACCCCTAAAATCAATCCCAACCTTCCTTTGTGGTATTGAACCTTACAGTAAAATTTAATAGAGATCCATTCACTTATAAAGTTAGAGTGCGAAAACCAATGTGTTTTCGGATGACGACGACGACGCCAACATCATACCAATATACGAAAAAAAGGTAAAATTTGTCATTTAAGGGCAATAACTCCTATAAGAAGTCGTCTGACGGTTTTGACATATATGGACATTTGGCAGAGCTCAACATTCTGAAAATTTCTGTCCGGTCAGATTTTCTCTATTTTTGAACGGTTTTCAAAATGATAGACAAAACTTGCATTTTACCCCTATGTTCTATTTTTACCCATGTCAGCTATCTTGGTTGGCAGGTTTGGTCATCAGACACATTTTTAGCTCACCTGGTCCAAAGGGCCAAGTGAGCTTTTCTCATTACTTGGCGTCCGTCGTCTGAAACTACTGGGCCAAATTTGACCAAACTTGGCCACAATCATTATTAGGGTATCTAGTTTAAAAAATGTGTCCGGTGACCCTGCCAACCAACCAAGATGGCCGCTATGGCTAAAAATAGAACATAGGGGTAAAATGTAGATTTTGGCTTATATCTCTGAAACCAAAGCATTTAGAGCAAATCTGACATGGGATATAATTGTTTATCAGGTCAAGATCTATCTGCCCTGAAATTTTCAGATGAATCGGACAACCTGTTGTTGGGTTGCTGCCCCTGAATTGGTAATTTAAAGGAAATTTTGCCGTTTTTGGTTATTATCTTGAATATTATTATAGATAGAGATAAACTGTAAACAGCAATAATGTTCAGCAAAGTAAGATCTACAAATAAGTCAACTTGACCAAAATGGTCAGTTGACCCCTTAAGGAGTTATTGCCCTTTATAGTCAATTTTTAACCATTTTTCGTAAATTTTTGTAATCTTTTACAAAAATCTTCTCCTCTGAAACTACTAAGACAAATTTAACCAAACTTGTCCACAATCATCATTAGGGTATCTAGTTCAAAAAATGTGTCCGATGACCCCGCCCGTGAACCAAGATGGCCGACATGGCTAAAAAATAATACATAGGGTAAAATGCAGTTTTTGGCTCATATCTCTGAAACCAAAGCATTAAGAGCAAATCTGACACGGGTTAAAATTGTTTATTAGGTTATGATCTATCTGCCCTTAAATTTTCAGACCAATCAAGCAACACATTGTTGGGTTGCTGCCCCTGAATTGGTAATTTTAAGAAAATTTTGCAGCTTTTGGTTATTATCTTGAATATTATTATAGATAGAGATAAACTGTAAACAGCAATAATGTACAGCAAAGTAAGGTCTACAAATAAGTCAACATGACCAAAATTGTCAATAGACCCCTTAAGGAATTATTGCCCTTTATAGTCAATTTTTTACAATTTTCATAAATTTTGTAAATTTTTGTTAATTTTTACAAAATATTTTCCACTGTAACTACTGGGCCAAGTTCATTATAGATAGAGATAATTGTAAGCAGCAAGAATGTTCAGTAAAGTAAGATCTACAAACACATCACCATAACCAAAACACAATTTTGTCATGAATCCATCTGTGTCCTTTGTTTAATATGCACATAGACCAAAGTGAGCGACACAGACTCTTTAGAGCCTCTAGTTTAAACTAGATACCCCAATGATGATTGTGGCCAAGTTTGGTTAAATTTGGCCCAATAGTTTCAGAGGAGAAAATTTTTGTAAAAGTTAACAGACGACAACGCCGAGAAAAAGGCCAAGTGAGCTAAAAAAAGATCTGTCCAATTACCGTAAAAATCTATGAAGGTTTGTCAAAGTTATTGATGACTGAAAAAACTTTAACCTTAGACTGTATCTAAATGTTAACTGCAAAAATAAAAAGTCCATTTATGAGTAAAACACGGGAAAATAGATATAAATATTTTCAAAATTTTGCTCTTGATACTGTCTTTTGGTCATAAAAAAAAGCATCTGTATAATTTTCATAAAAATCCATGAAGGTTTGACAAAGTTATTGATGTTAAAAAAAAAACTTAAATAACAAACTGAACCTAAATGTTCTCACTATTGTCACTAATAATGACGCCACAGACAAGGCTGTATGAGTTCTATTGAAGGTACATAATTTAAAAAGCTATTTCTAACATATTCTATGTACAGTGCCTGTAATATCATAAAAAACACAACCAAAACAAATATTGAGATCTGTGTACAACAAAAAAAAACACATTCTAACCTGCAAAATTCTTGTGGCTTTCTCCTTGTATTCAGCCAGCTCTTGCTTTGCACAATCTAAATTGTGTCGAGCTAGTTTCAGTTGATTCATCAAATCTTTCACTTTTGCTTAAAAAGAAGGTTTTCTATAGTATGAACTTCTTTTTTATTAATAAATTTGATACCGCTAAATTGACAACAACACTTAAGTAAACTGCAACTCTTATTGGTGGACATGTTTTTCTGATTAGATCGGCGTCTTCAGGACAAAGAATTCAAAATTAGAATCCCTGAAGTACAGGAAAATGGTATCAGGTATGTGACGTCATAATCATCTATTATCTATTGTTGACATTTCTATAGAATACTATATAAATCAAATATAATACAATAACTAGAGGCTCTCAAGAGCCTGTGTCGCTCATCTGATTCTACTTTGGTTTTGATAATCTTGTAAAAATAGATTAAAATCATAACAGATACCCTAATAATCATTTAGCCCCGTTATTTAATCAAAAGCAGAAGTCTTTTGTAAAGTTTACAGAAATTGCCAATAAATTCATTGAAATTGTGGAAAATGACTTTATAAGGACAATGACAAATCAGCTACAAAGTAACAACACTTGGTCAGCACCTCAAAAGAAACATTCATACCATGTTTGGTTTCAATCCATTAAGCGGTTTTCTAGAAGAAGACATTTGTATGTATTTCCCATAGGGTCCTTTGTTAAACTAAGTCCCCCATTGGCAGCCATCTTGGTGATGGATTTGCTACAAAGTAACAACACTTTGTCAGCACCTCATGAGGAACATTCATACCATGTTTGGTTTCATTCCATTCTGTGGTTCTTCAAAAGAAGACTTTTGTATGTATTTCACATAGGGTCCTTTGTTAAACTAAGTTTCCCGCTGGGAGCCATCTTGGATGATTGATTGGCTACAAAGTAACAACATTTGGTCAGCACCTCATTAGGAACATTCATGCCATGTTTGGTTTCATTCCATTCAGTGGTTCTCTAAAAGAAAACATTTGTATGTATTTCCCATAGGGTCCTATATTAAACTAAGTCCCCGCTGGCGGCCATCTTGGATGATTGAACACCTACAAAGTTACAACACTTGGTCAGCACCTCATAAGGAACATTCATGTCATGTTTTATTTCATTCCATTTAGTGGTTCTCTAAAAAAAGACATTTATATGTATTTCCCATAGGGTCCTATGATAAATGAAGTCCCCCGCTGGCGGCCATCTTGGATGATGGATCGGCTTCAAAGTAACAACACTTGGTCATAACCTCATAAGGAACATTCATGCTATGTTTGGTTTCATTCCATTCAGTGGTTCTATAAAAGAAGACATTTGTATGTATTGTCCATAGGGTCCTATGTTTAACAAAGTCCCCCCACTTGCAGCCATCTTGGATGATGGATCAGCTACAAAGTAACAACACTTAGTCAGCACCTCATAAGGAATATTCATGCTATGTTTGGTTTCATTCCATTAAGTGGTTCTTTAGAAGAAGATATTTGTATGTATTGTCAATAGGGTATTATGCTAAACGAAGTCCCCCGCTGGCAGCAATCTTGGATAAAAGATCACCTACAAAGTTACAACACTTGGTCAGCACCTCATATGGAACATTCATGCCATGTTTTATTTCATTCCATTTAGTGGTTCTCTAAAAGAAGACATTTATATGTATTTCCCATAGGGTCCTATGATAAATGAAGTCCCCCGCTGGCGGCCATCTTGGATGATGGATCGGCTTCAAAGTAACAACACTTGGTCATAACCTCATAAGGAACATTCATGCTATGTTTGGTTTCATTCCATTCAGTGGTTCTATAAAAGAAGACATTTGTATGTATTGTCCATAGGGTCCTATGTTTAACAAAGTCCCCCACTTGCAGCCATCTTGGATGATGGATCAGCTACAAAGTAACAACACTTAGTCAGCACCTCATAAGGAATATTCATGCTATGTTTGGTTTCATTCCATTAAGTGGTTCTTTAGAAGAAGATATTTGTATGTATTGTCAATAGGGTACTATGCTAAACGAAGTCCCCCGCTGGCAGCAATCTTGGATAAAAGATCACCTACAAAGTTACAACACTTGGTCAGCACCTCATATGGAACATTCATGCCATGTTTTATTTCATTCCATTTAGTGGTTCTCTAAAAGAAGACATTTATATGTATTTCCCATAGGGTCCCATGTTAAACTAAGTCCCCTGCTGGCAGCTATCTTGGATGATGGATCGGCTTCAAAGTAACAAAACTTGGTCAGAACCTCATAAGGAACATTCATGCCATGTTTGGTTTCATTCCATTAAGTGGTTCTATAAAAGAAGTCATTTGTATGTATTGTCCATAGGGTCCTATGTTAAACAAAGTCCCCCACTGGCAGACATCTTGGATGATTGATCTCCTACAAAGTTTCAACACTTGGTCAGCACCCCATAAGGAACATTCATGCCATGTTTTATGTCATTTCATTTAGTGGTTCTCTTAAAGAAGACATTTGTATGTATTTCCCGTAGGGTCCTATGTTAAACTAAGTCCCCCTCTGGTGGCCATCTTGGATGATGGATCGGCTTCAAAGTAACAACACTTGGTCAGCACCTCATAAGGAACATTCATGCCATGTTTGGTTTTATTCCATTCTGTAGTTCTCTAAAAGAAGACATTTATATGTATTTCCCATAGGGTCCTATGATAAACGAAGTCCCCCACTGGCGGCCATCTTGGATGATGAATAGGATTCAAAGTAACAACACTCGGTCAGCACCTTATAAGGAACATTCATGCCATGTTTGGTTTTATTCCATTTTGTGGTTCTCTAAAAGAGACAATTATATGTATTTCCCATAGGGTCCTATGATAAACGAAGTCCGCCGCTGGCGGCCATCTTGGATGATGGATCGGCTACAAAGTAACAACACTTGGTCAGCACCTCGTAAGGTAACATTCATGCCACGTTTGGTTTCATTCCATTTAGTGGTTCTCTAGAAGAAGTTCAAAATGTAAAAAGTTAATGACAACGACGACGATGACAATGGACGACAGACGACGGACGCCAAGTGATGAGAAAAGCTCACTTGGCCCTTTTGGGCCAGGTGAGCTAAAAATGAAATTATTAAAATTCAGAGTTAATCTATTATTGTTATAATCTTATTTATCTTGAAAAAATGTTGTAATCTATCCTGACGGTAAATGTATATATATATAAAATGTGTTGTAAAATAAATCAATCATGAATGTGTAATATGAATGTAAGTATAATGTAATAAATTTGATGTAAGACATAAATAAAGAAATGTCAACTTTTTAAGCATCTTTTCTCTAGCTAGATTACAATAAAATGCTCTGCAGGGCGCAGCTTGATACGACTGCAGAGGTCGAACCCTGAACAGTTGGGGCAAGTATGGACACAACATTCAAGCTTGATACAGCTCTGAATTTGGATTGTGATTAAATATTTGACACAGCATAGGTTTCTGACACAGAATGAACGTGGTCTAAGAACTTAAAAATTTTAAATTGGACATTCACCTATTATGGTCCAATATCCAAAATCTAAATACATGGTTAGATTCAGCATATCAAAGAACCCCAAGAATTCAATTTTTGATGAAATCAAACAAAGTTTAATTTGGGACCCTTTTGACCTCAATGTGGACAAAGTTGATAACGGGGCCCAAAAATCAAAAATCTAAATACATGGTTAGATTCAGCATATCAAAGAACCCCATATATTCAATTTTTGTTGAAATCAAACAAAGTTTAATTTTGGACCCCGATTTGGACCAACTTGAAAACTGGGCCCATAATCAAAAATCTAAATACATGTTTAGATTCAGCACATCAAAGAACCCTAAAAATTCAATTTTTGTTAAAATCAAACTAAGTTTAATTTTGGACCCTTTGGACCTTTATGTAGACCAATTTGAAAACGGAACCAAAAATTAAGAATCTAAATACACTGTTAGATTCGGCATATCAAAGAAGACATTTATATGTATTTCCCATAGGGTCCCATGTTAAACTAAGTCCCCTGCTGGCAGCTATCTTGGATGATGGATCGGCTTCAAAGTAACAAAACTTGGTCAGAACCTCATAAGGAACATTCATGCCATGTTTGGTTTCATTCCATTAAGTGGTTCTATAAAAGAAGTCATTTGTATGTATTGTCCATAGGGTCCTATGTTAAACAAAGTCCCCCACTGGCAGACATCTTGGATGATTGATCTCCTACAAAGTTTCAACACTTGGTCAGCACCCCATAAGGAACATTCATGCCATGTTTTATGTCATTTCATTTAGTGGTTCTCTTAAAGAAGACATTTGTATGTATTTCCCGTAGGGTCCTATGTTAAACTAAGTCCCCCTCTGGTGGCCATCTTGGATGATGGATCGGCTTCAAAGTAACAATACTTGGTCAGCACCTCATAAGGAACATTCATGCCATGTTTGGTTTTATTCCATTCTGTAGTTCTCTAAAAGAAGACATTTATATGTATTTCCCATAGGGTCCTATGATAAACGAAGTCCCCCACTGGCGGCCATCTTGGATGATGAATAGGATTCAAAGTAACAACACTCGGTCAGCACCTTATAAGGAACATTCATGCCATGTTTGGTTTTATTCCATTTTGTGGTTCTCTAAAAGAGACAATTATATGTATTTCCCATAGGGTCCTATGATAAACGAAGTCCGCCGCTGGCGGCCATCTTGGATGATGGATCGGCTACAAAGTAACAACACTTGGTCAGCACCTCGTAAGGTAACATTCATGCCACGTTTGGTTTCATTCCATTTAGTGGTTCTCTAGAAGAAGTTCAAAATGTAAAAAGTTAATGACAACAACGACGATGACAATGGACGACAGACGACGGACGCCAAGTGATGAGAAAAGCTCACTTGGCCCTTTTGGGCCAGGTGAGCTAAAAATGAAATTATTAAAATTCAGAGTTAATCTATTATTGTTATAATCTTATTTATCTTGAAAAAATGTTGTAATCTATTCTGACGGTAAATGTATATATATATAAAATGTGTTGTAAAATAAATCAATCATGAATGTGTAATATGAATGTAAGTATAATGTAATAAATTTGATGTAAGA